TATATTGTATAATTTTGTCTCTTAATTATATCTAAGGGGGCCGCTGTAATTGGCTAAGCTGTAGCGGCTCCCCTGGCCATTTTGTTTTTTGTTTTTTTTCGTTTTTTCTTGTTTTTTTTTTTTCGTTATGTGTAATAGTAGGCCGAAGCTTAATAAATTAAAAAAAAAAGAAAAAAAAAAGTCGATCTAAACAGTTAGCACGATCAGAGCCGTAACCAGTGCCAGGCAAACCAAGGCACTTGCCTCTGTCATTTTTTCGTTTTTGTTTTTGTTTTTGTTTTGTTTTTGAAGGAAAAAAATAAACCACTGCTAAATACCTAAGAAGAGAATTTTTCAATGGGCATTGCCATTTTTTTTTTTGTGGCTACGCCCTTGACGGTCGATCGCGCTTGTAAATTTACTGCATGCAATCTTATAATATATCTTTACACAGGCAGAAACATTGCCATAAAGTTGCACTTTATACCTCTACACCAGGCTAAGGCTGTCCACAATTTTTTGGTATGTCTTTCATATTTCAAGCAACTTAAATTCCCTCCGAGAGATTTTCTGAGTATAACTTTCTAACCATTCATACTAAGAAATCGGAGAAGCTTTTAGAGTTCACGTTGGTCCCACCTTATTCCGAACTTTACTGAAGATTCTCTAAATGTTTCCCAAGGGCCGAACATTGTGTCTTACGTGACAATATTGACAATTTTTAACTTATTTTGTTTTCATTTTAATGATCCAGTCAAGTACAGGCTGTATCATCAATGTTCACTCTTGAACCAACATATCCCTGCTTATCAGTGGACGATTCATTAGTAAGTAATCATGCATGCTTGTGATTCCAAATGCACTTCATGCCCTACCAATTTCAAAATTACAATCCAATTGCCCTTGCTCATAACAGTACTCTACTTAATCTTACTACTTGTCATAGCCTTGTTTCTACATTGCAAAGCACATTTTGCCCTCTAAACTACAGTTACTTTGGAAACAATGTTTGACTGTCTCCTGACTGTGGTGAGCTTAATTTAGTTTCCTTGAATAGTTTTGATACACTCTTCAATTTACTGACTTTTTTTTGGTGTGNCTACATTGCAAAGCACATTTTGCCCTCTAAACTACAGTTACTTTGGAAGCAATGTTTGACTGTCTCCTGACTGTGGTGAGCTTAATTTAGTTTCCCGGACAACTTACATACATGTCTTCATTTTAGTGACTTTTTTTTGGGGGGGGGGGGGGGGGGGGAATTAACCACAAGCTCAACTTTGTAATTTGTTATTTTTTCTTGCAATATTAAAAAAATATATATATAAATGAAAATAAAATTAAAGTAATAACAAAAAGCAACAGTATTCAGATTATAGAAACACTATGGCCAGAGTTCAGGAGAACTCGGAAAAGCACTTTCCTCAGGCTGGCGTTTCCTATACTATTTAACAATTTGCATCGTTACTTGGGTGAGTTTGTGAAGTCATTCCGCACTTTGTCAATTAGATCTTTATTACACAGCACATCGATTGCTGTCATGGCCATTGCTTTGCTTGCAATCAACGTTTTCTCATGAGCAAGTTCTGTGATTGCTGCTGTTGTGAATGCATGAGAGTGATTGGGAGCTGTGGTGCCAATGGAATACATGGGATGTATTGATGGAACTACATGAGAAACATTTCCCATGTCAGTTGAGGCGGAAAAACTTGCTTCAGGAGGAAATGTTATCCCGAGAGTTTCTGCATTTGCTTGGTAGAGTTGAGCAAGGGTGTTGTTGGAGTCTAAATGTGAATATTTACTGGAAGCCATCCACTCCATGGCAACTTTGCAGCCTGAAGAAGGAAAGAAGAAAGAATTTTCTATCATACCAAGAAGGAAACTACTGGCAAACGCCTCTTACAGGGTGGCAATCCTCAGGGAGTTAAATGACAACTTAATCCAGGTTGGCTTCTTAATAAATAGGGGGTAGAAAAAAATTACTGAGCACAAGGCATGGTTGAAACATCATTTTGTGCTCCATCCCCCTGCTAAAGATAGCAATACACGGAGTACATGCAGTATATGAATTCCCCCTCTCCTTTAGCACTTGTCAATGCCGCTATAAATGGAAGTTAGGTAGATGAGACATTGATTTAACAAGCTGTATGTCGAATTATATTATAATCCATCAAGTATTTTTTGCTCACACGTGACTGTTCCAAATATACATCATGTGACTGAATATAACCCAGCTAAAACTCCTGTGTGTTGGAAAAGTATTTGAAGAATAAGAAACAAAAATATGAAAAAATATGCTCTAATGTCCTTGTACTTTATCCGTTCCTCAGAGCTCACAGTTTTCCTTGAAAAACTGTTCACTTCTAAGTTAGAACAGATACATACATGGTGTTCCGGACAAATCTCTAAGCATATTTTTGCGCCAAATAAAGGCTATTGTTGATATATAATTTGTAATTTGTAATTTATAATTTGTATTATTATATTGTAAGTGTATGCATGTGGTTACTGTATGTTGTACGTATATAATGATAATTACATTTTCTGGACATACATATATGCGCACAGTATACATGTAAAAGAAAGAGGCTCTAAAGTAACAACTCTTCAACTAGCAAACTTGTTTGACTAAATCACCTGTAAGGCTTTTAACTTGCTGACATATTACATTTTTTAGCCTGATTATATATTACATGTACTTTGACTCTAGGTTATTTGTAAATAAATAAATATTATATTTTTGGTTATACCCCGGCGTGATCAATCGATGACAATCGATCATCAGAAACCAATCGATCAATCGATATCAATCGATAACAATTAGTTAATTGTTATCGATTGCTATTGGCCAATCGATGACCAATCGATAATCACAAGCTCAAGTCACCAGTAACCAGAAAACTTTAAACTGTAGGTTTCTGTTGTAACTTGAAAGAGTACGAACATTTTCATCCCAGTTTAGTTTGTGTTAACAATGTTAATTTTCTTGCATTATACCCGCATTTAGAGAGATTAATAAAGTTATTGTTACTGTTGTTGATGGTAATGATGATCTTCACAATTACATGTGACCATATTTCTCCTGTCAAATCATTTTTTTACCTCCCCAAAAGATATGGTAATCGATGACAATCGATGACAATCGATGACAATCGATGGCAATTAAAAAACACAAGTTTTTTGGCCATCGATTGGTCATCGATTTCCGATATCAATCGATTAATTGTTATCGATTGATATCGATTGCCATCGATTGCTATCGATTATCGGTTTCATCGATCGATCACGCCGGGGTTATACATATCAATAATACAACAGTAATTACCACTGGCCAAGGCTGCGGCTTCAAAACACTTTGAGACCTTTTCCTTCAACACTTCAAGTTCCTGGTCAGTCACAGTCCTGACCGAACATTTAAGCTGCGTGCGATCAGGAATGATGTTAGGCTTAACACCCCCCTCAGTGATAATGGCATGGACACGCCATGTTGGCTTCATCTGCTGTCGTAACACACTTATGTTGTTGTATGCCATGACTGCTGCATCAAGTGCATTGATTCCTTCCCAAGGGAATGCTGCAGCGTGGGCTGCATGACCTTTGTAGGTAACTACCACATTCTCACGAGCAAAAATAACTGGCTTAAGTACATCTGCAGGGCAAGGATGAACCATCATGCAGAAGTCAATGTCTTTGAAGCACCAATTGTTGATCATCAGAATCTTGCCTCCTCGTTCTTCCTCAGCGGGAGTTCCAAGAAGAACTATTTTGACTTTTGGTTTCTGATTGACTGCTTCTAATGCAATCTTGAGACCTGAACACACAGAGCAATTAAAAGTCTTTAACAAGTCTTTAATTTAACATTTTAATGGCACAAAGCAAGTTTTTACTTAAAAGCATTGATACAGTGCTTGGCTTCCCATAAGATTTTAATGGTAATCAAATGGGCAACTTGCTTTACGACTATCCAATAACTAAATATGTCTCGGGACTTGGGACTAAACATGTTTCGGGACTCCCGGGGAGTGGGGAGGGGGACTCCCATATAAAAAGGACTGGGGCACTTGTCGCAAATTTTAAAAAGAACCCCTAAGAGGTACCATGATCCTGTCTGTGGGCGTGGCTAGAAAATGTTTTACTTTACACCCTTAAGTGGAACCAATTCTAAAACAACACATCTCCTGTCATATTTTTTCGGCTCAATACCCTAAATGGTACAGCAAAAGCTCCTGCTCTGGACCGTTTGAGGCTGAATACCCTAAGAGGTACCAAAACCGCATCTTTTAACCCCTAAAATTTACGACGAGCACCCCCGTCCTTTTTATAGGGGAGTTCCCGCCGGGCCTTAGATGTCTAAATCGACTCTTGGAATCTCTCCCCTGAGAATCAGAAAAAGTTGACGGGCATGCCTGCATACACTACATTTTTAATCTCCATAACCGGACAGCTCTCCAAAGTGGACACTTTTCCTTGCTCAAACGTTTTGGGACACGTTTGTGCAAGGAAAAGTGGGAGGTTCGATTGTACATGTACGAAAACGAAACCAAACTTAACTTAAAGCTTACCTAATGCCGCCGCTACACCTGATTCAGCGATCAGATTATGTCCACAAGCATGTCCTACTTCTGGTAAAGCGTCATATTCACTAATCAGACCAATTGTTAGACCTCCATCTTCACCGCATTCAGCACGGAACGCTGTATCCAAAGTGTAATGGGGCGTCACGTCGAAACCTCGCTCGGCTAAAAACTCCGTCAGTCGATCATGAGCGTAGAACTCCTTAAAAGCTAGCTCTGGGTTTTCCCATATGCTTTTGTTTAGATCATACAACTCAGGAGAATAGATGTCAATCGCTTCTTCTGCCTTTTGTTTCAGAATATCTGCCTCACCGCTCGCCATGTTTTCTGTTTTCCGGTTTCCGCATGATTGACGCACGAGTGGAAATTGAATCCTAGTAAGCAGCGGATGTTAACGCTGGCGCCTCATACCGGAAGTTTTCGTTTAGAACGATTTTGTCGCTAGTTTTATCATGTTCGATATGTTTTCTTATTAGGAATATTCGGAAACAATCACCCAGGAGCAGATTGAATAACTAAAGCAATTGCTTTTGTTTTGCCTAGAGATGTCCGCAGCCGTTTTTGGTGATGTCACGCAACGCTTCCCCCTTCTCTTGGGGGGAGCGTTGCGTGATAGCCCCCAAAACGGTTGGGGAGGATACCACAAGCGAGGCAGATTAAAAGTAATACCAAATGCTAAAAGCATTTTTTAAAAAAGCCTTAAAAAAGAGCCATGTTTCGAGAATGAATGGGCACTAATTTGAATATTTGCAACCTTCATTTTACACATGTAACAGCCTTCAGACCAGCAAAGAAAGATAAACCTCAGAGGTCAGTGAATTTAATTTATTGTAAATTACGTTTTTTTTACAAGCTTTGACTATAAAAGACTACTGGGTTGGGTACAGGATTTTAGAGATGGGGGTTCAAGATATGGACTGTGCTTCCCTGTAGGGGTGGGTGGGGGCATCCTCTCCCAGAAAATGTTTAAAATTGAGGTCCTTGGAAATGAATTTCAGACATTCTGAGGCCAAGTTAGCTTGTTATAATGTCTCATCTTTTTTTTTTAATATAGGGAGGTGGGTTTTGCACAAAATTTGTAACAAAATCTGTCTTAAAATTAGAATAATCATGTACTTACAGTACATTCGATTGCATTGGCTGATGATCAAACCCGTGATGTGACAACTATGGACTAGGTTTCCCAGTCACAGCAATCCCTTTTCACAATAATTACTACTTGAAATTATCTGTGCAATCCCTTAACTTGATCAGGCAGGTTAATAAAAATTTATAAAAAAAATCTTTCTTTCTTAGATGTAATTAATTGATATTCTTCAAAACCTCAGCTATTTTGATAATTTGCACCTCTTTTAATTGCTCTCAGGGCTAGGGGAATATTTATCTGTTTGTGTTCTTTGTCGTTTTTGTTTGTTTTGTTTTGTTTTGTTAGGCCAATTGTTAAGAGCCTTGTAAACTGCACAGGTCGCCTCACACAGAAAGACAGAGAAAGGGATAAAATGTAATGACTAGAACTTAGAAGTGAAAAGTTACCACAGTTTTAAAGAAGTTTATAAATTATTGCTATATATTAATATATTTCATTGAAATTGAAATGCACAATTAAATTTAGTCAACAAGGATAATGGAAATGATTTCTAAATTACAAATGGCAAGGGCATTAAGCTAGGGTGGGTCCTGGGGTGCCCGTGACCCCCCTTTGTAAACCTTTTTTAAGCAAACAACCTACAACAGGTGGCGAAAACGACATGACAATANCCCCCCCTTTGAAAAATCCTGGCTACACCCCTGAAAGGTCAGTATAAAACAGAAAAAATGATAACAATTTTTGGCGTGAAATAAAAAAATAATCTGTCCTGTATTTTGGCATAAATTGTTACATTACCCACTTGACTGTGTAAATTCAAATAATCTGTTAATCTCCACAGTAATTATCAGTGATAGAAAATCCATCAATTGAAAGTAGTGTTAAAAACCGGGAAAACTGCCATTCTGTTTTTGGACATAACTTATTGGGACCTTGCAGTACGGAAATAATTTAAAAACATATGATTTAAATAATTGAAAAACAAACATGTCTCTGGATCTGGGTTATTCCCTTATCTTCTTATTTGGTGGACAGAATTTTATAAATTTAGTATTGTCATTCCCTCAAAAAGGAAATTAATGCTATTTTGTTCAGCTTGCTGAATGGCTTTAAACCTGCATTGTTCAATTTCTTTCACAATTTCACTTGTTACTTGTGTTATGTGATGTCATAAAGTCATTCCGCACTTTGTCAATCAGATCCTTATTGCACAACACATCAATGGCTGTCATAACCATCGCCTTGCTTGCAATCAAAGTTTTCTCATGAGCAACTTCTGTGACTGCTGCTGCTGTAAATGCGTGAGAGTGATTTGGAGCTGTTGTGCCAATGGAATACATGGGATGTATTGATGGAACTATGTGGGAGACATTTCCCATGTCAGTTGAGGCTGGAAAGTCTTCTTGAGTCGGAAATGTTACTGCCAATGACTCTGCATTTGCTTGGTAGAGTTGAGCAAGGGTGTGGTTGGTATCCAGATTTGAGTAACGAGGAGATATCCACTCAATAGAAACTTGGCACCCTACATAAAACAGAAATGGTACCCCTTGTTGAAGTCTCATATAGCTACTAACAGTATTATTGAATACTTTGTATAAATCCATTCACACTTACTATGGAATGCATTTTTTTAAATTTATGCTAGTAGTGCGAGGGTAAGATATCAGAGGTGGATAAGTAGAGAGATTCATGTTGAAAGTGACGTAATTTCCCATGTTAGTGAAAATTTGAGAGCATGTTAAATCCTGCACCCCACAAACAGCTTTCCAGCTTTAAGACAATAGGGCAAACAAGCTACTTTTGCAGTAGAAAGCTGAAACAGCAAAGTTAGCTAACCTGTAGCTGATGCAGCAGCTTGGAAGCAGCTTGTGACCTTTTCTGAAACTATATTCATCTCATCATCATTTGGCCCTCTGATATTGTATATTAACTGGGCTCGATCAGGAATGATATTAGGTTTTACTCCACCCTCAGATATTATTCCATGAACTTGCCATGTAGGCTTCATCTGCTGTCGTAACACACTTGTGTTGTCATAAACCATGACTGTTGCATCAAGAGCATTGATTCCTTCCCAAGGGAAAGCCACAGCATGAGCAGCATGTCCCTTGTATGTTACAATTACATCTTGCTCTGATAGAATTGATGGCTTAAGTACATCTCCAGGGCAAGGATGCACCATCATGCAGATGTCGATATCTTTAAAACATCCATTGTTGATCATCAGAATCTTGCCACCTCCCGCTTCCTCGCCAGGAGTTCCAAGAAGAACTATTTTCACTTTTGGCTTCTGTTTGGCTGATTCCAAAGCAATCTTGAGACCTGTAAAGGTTTAGTTACTGGGCTGTCAGTGATTATGAAACCTGTTCAAATTCTTGATCTGAGAGGGTGATAATATAGCAAACTTCATTTCAGCCTCATTGTTACATGTAGACAGGGTAAGGAGGGATTGGGCTGAGATTTCAGCTCTGCTAACACTTCCAAAACAAATCCTCTTGAAATTTAATTTGCAATGACACTGAGAGGGTTTCAGTCTGGAGTGAAAATTCCAGCATTATGTTCTCAGAACAAACTGGAAAATTGGCCCCTTAGGAAATTATGCAAAATCTGACAGTGATTTGGGCTGATACTTTCCGAGTTCTATGGTACAATTTTTGACAGGGAACGTTTCCCTTTCTTATACTCTCCTTAGAGAATGGTACCACCATCAAATCAAGTACTGGAGTAGAAATACACCATCCTTTTACTGAATGGAAACATCTCAGTTGAGTATCCCCACACTCAACCTTTAGGTGCATTTGTTTGAGATTTTTTTTGAAACACTTAAATTAACAGTTTTCTGCCCTTTTCTACACTTCAACTGGTGAAATGCCTTCCATTATATCCTTCAGCCTGAAAAAAGGTTCCTCTCCACATAGTCCACTGCCTCCCCTCTTTTAATACCCAATAAACAGGTAAATGGGTTACTCAAGAGTTTTCAAGGGCTGATGTGTGTTTGGGGAGGTGTCTTCAGGTTTTCCCTGGGAAGGATGTGATTTACATGAAGAGAATTAGATCTTGAGTCTTTATCTTGACTTCTTGTGGAAATAACTGGCCTCCCATCTAGGGGAAGGGGAACAAATGGAATGGGTCATAGCAATGCCAGTATTGTTACATACTCTGTAGTGGTTAAAAAAAAACTACATGTGCAAGCATGGTGGCCCACAAACAAATGGAGCCGGGAAGTGGAGGTGGCGGAGGGAAGGGGTGGGGGGTGGGGGGAGAGTTACTTCATAGGCTGTACCCAAAAGGGGCACTTTCTCAAGCTGGAAGTATACACATGTAGAAGAGTAGGCAGGGATTTGGAAAAAGGATTTGAGGAAAAGTGCCATCGGCTTATTTACAAGGCTTTCCAAAATATCTCAAACACAGTGATCAAATGCGTTATTGTGTGACAGTATGTAAGCCATTGCGTTACTTGAATTCTCCCGCTCCCTCCCGGGATATGGATTAAACTACATGTAAAGTTGATAAAAAGCTAAGTCAGCAATGTATCACCTAAAGCAGCAGCTACGCCTGATTCAGCGATCAGATTGTGTCCACAAGCATGTCCTACTTCTGGTAAAGCGTCATATTCACTAATCAGACCAATTGTTAGACCTCCATCTTCACCGTATTCACCACGAAACGCTGTATCCAGAGTGTAATGGGGCGTCACATGGAAACCTTGCGCCGCTAAAAACTCCGTCAGTTGATCATGAGCAAATGACTCTTTAAAAGATAGCTCTGGATTTTTCCATATTCTTTTGTTTAGATCGTACAACTCAGAAGAACGCTGGTCGATCGCCTCGATCGCACGTTGTTTCAACGCAGCAGCCTGATCGTCCACCATTTTGGGAAATGAGATTGCGTTATGTGTCAGTTACAAGAAACGAGCCAAGCTGTGATTGGGCAAAATGCAACCTCCCGTAGACGTTCTTATAGATCGTCATGCACTCCTTCCCAATGATGCCGTGACGAGTCCAAAGAGGCTCAAAGTATGGAGGGGTGAAGCGTTGGGTGACAACCCAAATGACGACAGACTGAAATGACAAGGAGGCCAGGCCACACCTTGAATGGTTGAACGTGGTTGATTCGTTGTATGCGAGACAGAACAAAATTTGAGCTGGAGGAAAATAATACCAGTGGAAGTTTATAACTTCTGATTACAGTCAGTAATAATAATAGTAACTAATGATAATTGTTATTTATATAACGCCATTCCTATGCTCATGGCGCGTTACGAAGAAATTTGTAACTTGTACATTCAGGAATAAAATCTATATAAGCTTATATACAAAAGAAAAGTATAAAAACTAAGTACAATTCAAAAATATTCACGATGTCTACAAAAACAATAAGTAGCTAATACTGTAAGTTTGCAGATTAGAAGAGCTGCCTTGCAGATAGGCATAAATCAAACAATAAACACATTAACATGTAACCTCTACCATTGTTAGTATAGGTAATCATACGGTTCCGAGTTCAATTTGGAATTAATTTGCACGAGTGAGTTTTTCAAAGAGCTGAAATTGCGCGAGCCGCTTCGGCGGGTGTAATTTCAGCTTTTTGAAAAACTCACAAGTGCAAATTAACTCCAAATTGAACGAGAAAAACCGTATGATTACTTATTAATAATATAAACATGANAGAAAAGTTCCTATTTTCTTTCAGTCAATCATAATCCAGAATTTCGATGTGTAATTTGCACTGGTGTTACACTTTTTGTACTGATATTACACTTTTTGCACTGATGTTACACTTGAACTGCACTGCTTTTAGCCAATCAGCATCGAGTAATTTTTTCATGTGTATTATTATAATTGTAATCGCAGTCCTTGTTAAAAGTTATCAATAGTCCTTCATTATCCAATAGTACGTATAGCTACTACACGGCACGATTTCTTGAAAATATGATTTTTGTTTTGAACTAGAAGAGACCGCAGTTCTCTAAATATAAAATTCATTTCAGGTGTCATTTGATATCATGGGTGGCACCCTTCCCTCCAGATTCAGTTGTGTCGGCGAGTTTATTCATTTTGTGTAAATTGGTTTGATACAATGAAAATATTCGCCATGATTCGTGCTTTTTTATTTCAAAGGTTGCATTGATGTCCAATTTTAGTCATTCTTGGTAGCCTGAGTTTATTGACTGTGTGGTTTATGATTAGAAGGATCAGTGCTTCGGTAAAATGATGGGGAAGGGTCACGATCTGCTAGGAAATGTCCCATAAAAGTCCTGTTTCCACATCACCGTGTCTTAGTCAAAGAGGGCCTTGGGACGCACACCGGAGTGGAAGTACTCCGTGATGAGGGCCACCAAGCGGAGCACCATACCCATATGGCAAAAACAATTGAAGGAAACCCGTAAATTGATTTTCTCATGGTTATCAAGGGTAGTGGTATTGCTCGTGGGCGCGCGCGCACGACTCGACGACGGCGACGGCGTCGCGCAACATGGCGGCCATACTCCAGCTAATACGTTGACAGAGGCATGCAGCCTGGGTTTCACAGCGTACTTCTTTGATATTGGACATCCACAGTCAATTGACACCCGTCAAAACAAGGCGTCCGATGACCAGTATCACGTGACCATATCGCGGGCTTAAGTTCACAGCTTAACTTGTTGCAATCATGTTTTTAACTGCTTATGTTTTGTGTAGTTTGGGATTATTAAAACTCAAAACAGAAGGCCAAACAAAATAAACAAAAAACCTCACCGCAAAGTTACAAAGCTCAAATCAAAATTCTCGTTTCTCCTGGACTAGCTTAATCGGGCTTTGAACAACCTGGCTAGGAGCTCCCCTTTTCGGCTTGGCTAAATCTATATATTAGTCATGTACCATCCAAAGGATAATAATTTAGTTGGTTTGAAATAGGATTGTAGGTTTTGCTATTTGTCACAGAAAGGGTAAGCTTATTAAAGGGGTGTATCTAAGGCAATAATTTTTCAGTTTGAGAATAAAGAGAAAGCAGCAACTGGCCTAGTTTTTCTATATTGTTTTTTTTTTTTTTTACGAAATACGAAATACGCCGCGAATCTTGTAGCAAATCCCACCGTTAATTCCCTGATTTACTGACTAACCCTTTACTCCAGGAATGGTACGTTCATGTATCACCCCAGTTAAAACCACATGGCTAATTTCTATTTTTGGCCACGCCCTCTGTCTGAGTGTGCACGAAAACAAACATTTAGTATTTCGCAAGTTCTCCACTTGAGGTATTTCAAAATAAAAGCTAAGTGAAGTCGCATTGCTGCAGTTACTGTTGATTCAAACTCGAGTTCAGACGACACGGTCGATTTGTTTAACGCATCTTCGTACCATAATGCATTCGCTGATGTTGTCCATTTTCGCTATTTTGGTGGTCCCTACGGTGAGTTACAACTATATAGATAACAGGACACATGTCCAAGTAATCTGCTACGATATAATAGTGACCTATCTCTTGGTGATCGAGACAAGACTGAGCTAGAAGAGTGTTGCATTTTGTTTAGTTTAAAGGACTAACAGATACACAGGAAGGAAATCAGTAAACTCGAAGTCTTTCATTAGAATTTGTGACGGTATTTCTTATTAAATTGACTCGAGGCAACGAGTGGCTCAGATTCGATATCCATTGCTCTTTCAATTCCGGTTTTCGAGTCTAGAATTAGTTAGGACTGAGCTTAGCTGATATGATGTGGTAAGAACGAGCTCTGATGACACAAATTAAACGGCTCTCGCAATGTTCGACATTGTAGGGAGTTCCTGCTGGTTAGTGTAATTTGGAGTGAAAGAAGATCCGCCAAGTACGAATTGGTATAAAACTGAGCGGGTGGTCATCACTAAAACGACATTCAAGGGGACGCCAGGTCAACCTTAGAAGAACCGTCAGTCAGTAGTTTTCTTTAGCAAATTAATTACCACTGTTTACAGAGAACTGATGAGTTATAGCAGTGAAAGATGAGTCAAGTTGTTACAGTAAGGACATCGTGGAGTTTTCAGTCACTGTAACGTTGGTTATAATGAAGCAGCTCGTAAGAGATAAACCTATATTGAAGCAACCCTTTTTTTAGCTATTGTTTTCCAAGTGTCACTCGAAGTTGCAGTGATCCTATTTCGTGCCAACATCATGTAGGGCTTCGTTTGCCTGTGAAATAAACCTCTTATATGTACTAGTGATTCGAACAGAGAAAAAGAGGTTAAAAGCACGCTGAGTGGGTCTCACACGCAATGCTAATCCTGAATCACCGCTTCTCACTGGTAGTTACACTGCGGACAATTTAAGTATTTTTCGTGTCAGTGCTACTTTAGGGCGTGTATATGTGTATGGATTTTTCTCTTCAAACTGTTCAATTTTTCTCTTTTTTAGGGGAGCCGGGGTCGCAACTGTTGTAAGCTCATATGTGTATTCTTTTTATCTGTTACTTTTAGTTACTATAAAAAAGGTTGAATATAATGGATTGAGAAACTGCAGAAGTGGATCGTTTGCCTTATGTTTATCGCTGTATGCGTGGGATGATGGGAGCGGGCACGAGATGTATCGTCTTTAGCAGAACGTTTTTATTTTTTCTTCTTCTTCTCTTAATTCCACGTTTAGTTAACCTTAAGCTAAACAAAGAACAATTATTTTTCTTTGAAATTTAGTCGCAACAAAATGCGATGATCTGACATTTAGGTGTTTGTTTAGCAAGGACGATAACAATTTTGTTGACAGTAAGACACTTATGGACAAAAAGGTGTAAATGTTAAAGAAGATATTTACTTTGTCGCATCAAAGAGAACGCAGCTGGGATGTCACGCGGTTCCGAAAAAATGACGATCCCATAAGAAAGGATCAAGTTTCCCACAAAGCGAGAAACTGTTTTGCGGGATAATCAAAATTAATTAAATATGATGTATTAAGTACGGCGCACTATGTTGCTTGCAATATTGCACGCAATGATGAAATCTTGCGTCGTAAGCTCTGGCTCTTTGCATGCTCTTCACATGCTGAATTGTGTCTTTGTCTTGTTTCTGCTGATTTCTTGCCAGGTCATAGCAGTCGGTGGTCTAGGCGGTCACGTGTCTCTCCTGTTTCGCGCCTTTTCAAACCCAAGTAACCTGTTATTGAGCGGTGACTGCTGTGATCCAGCATGTGCGGATTGCAACTATTACTTCTTGTTTTGTATCCGTAATGACCCGAGCTCTGCCAGCTGCTTGGTATCGGGTAAAACCAAGACATATCACAATTACAAACACTTGGTGTTCACGTATGGCGATTCTCTTGGAAACGGCTGGCAAAATCCTGTGGAAGGAAGTTTTAGTTCTTGGAAGGTAAGATCATTTTCTTGCTCTTGTTTCTTGTATTGACACTATATGATACCTGTAGTAGAACCTGGCCTTTCGACCCTCCTGGGTATTTTGAGGCAAAAAGCTTTGTCAGTAATTTGCTCATTGAAGGCTGCCACTTTCAAAATATCATATTTTGATACCCGGTGGTGATTGTGCTAGTGGCGTTCCACTCTCAATAACCATAATTCCCTCGAAGAGTCAATTTTTAGCTGTAACATACACACTACATTGTGCAAGCAGATAGGTAAAGAAAATCAATTAAACAGGCTTATCATCGATCAGCTAGCTAAGGGTTATACGATGAAAGAAATACATGCTAACCTGGTTTCTCGCGCAACACACTTGTATGGTATGATCGAGTCTCATTTCGCTTATCTCTACTGTGACAACTTGGTACAGTAAGAGTAGTCTTTTGTTGAGCTCCAGAAAAGCGCAGTAACTACTTCCTTAGTCAACAACAACTGATACAAATTACTTTATATTACGCGCACAGGGTGTGCTAAGCTTTAGCATTGAAGTCATGGACTATGACTACTTTTCCGGAGCTGATGTCGTTGATCGCTTCAGTGTGAACAAACTGAACGTGATGCCAACCCCTTGGATGGAGTCGATCAAATGGAGAACGATTACACTTGGCGGAGGAGGCCATCCTTCCACCATGACATTGAAATATAACGTACAATGCAATGCAAATTATTATGGGTCGAATTGCACGACGTACTGTATGGCAAAAGACAATGATGTAGCTGGTCATTACACCTGCGATAAAGCCGCCGGTCACAAGGTCTGTCGTACTGGATGGCACGGTGTCAGCTGTAAGATCTACTGTGTGTCTCATGATGATGACACACGTGGACATTACACTTGTGAGTCTGGAACAGGAAGAAAAGTTTGTCTACAAGACTGGTATGAACCTAGCTGCACAGTGCACTGTGCAGCTAGGAATGACTCTCTGGCGGGGTACTCTTGCGATTCCCAGGGGCAAAAAGTTTGTTTGCGGAACTGGTACGGTAGGAATCAGTGCAACGTTTATTGCAAACAAACTAACAATTCGAGCGCTGGTTACAATTGTGGCTTAAATGGGAACAAAGTATGTTTACAAGACTGGTATGGTCCATCTTGCGATTGCACGCCAAAGAATGATTCATACATGGGTTACAGGTGTAATATTAGCAACGGCAGAAGAGAGTGTCTTAAAGGATGGTTCGGCGTCGACTGTAACATCCAATGTTTACCAGGAAACGATTCAGTAGGTCATTACACTTGTCACAATAGGACTGGAGCTAAAGAGTGTCTTCCCAACTGGTTTGGGGAAAACTGTACTGTTTTCTGTAAGACCAGTAATGATTCTTCGGGTCGACAAGAGTGCACACTTAACGGAAGCCGACCTTGTGCCAGAAACTGGTATGGTCCAAGTTGTAGCGTTTACTGTACTTCCAGAAATGACAAAGAGGGACAGTACACTTGTCATCCAGAAACGGGAGGGAAGATTTGTGGGAACGATTGGTATGGGGACAACTGCTCCACTTACTGCGTACCTCAAAATAGTGATTGGTTTGGCCATTACAACTGCAGCAAGATAGATGGTAGTAAACAGTGTCATAGTGACTGGCATGGGAGCCATTGTACGCTCTTCTGCAAACCTCACAATGACACACATGGGCATTACACTTGTGATAGGACAAATGGTAGTAAGGTTTGTTTGAAAGATTGGTTTGGATCCGAGTGCAAAACTTATTGCAAAGCAATGAACAACTCAAAAGGGCATTACAACTGTGGTATCCAGGATGGCACTAAGACATGCCACGAACACTGGCATGGCACCAACTGTTTAGTACATTGCACGGCTGTTAATGACTCTAGAGGTCATTATGAGTGTGATCCTAACGATGGGAGCAAGATATGCCATCGGGACTTTTACGGTCCAAACTGTTCAACACACTGCTCTGCTAAGCAAAGTATTAAAGAGGGATATTATGACTGCAACATTAAGGATGGCAGTAAGACTTGCCATCTGCACTGGTACGGACCAAACTGTAGTGTGTACTGCAAAGCGAGGAATGACTCTTGGGGACATTATGAGTGTAATGGGGTGAACGGGAGCTGGAGCTGTTTGGACGATTGGTATGGTCCCCGGTGCTCCGTTCACTGCGCTCCACGGAACACATCCGAGGGACATTACACCTGTGACTCAGAGACTGGAACCAAACTATGTCTTCCAGGCTGGGCTGGGAAGTTCTGTAACCGTGGTGAGTAATTTCCATTAAATACATAAAGCTTTCTAGGTAGACGTGTCTGACAAAGTAGTAAATCAGTGTAACAACAGCGTATCTATAGTTACCTTGTGTGTAGCAACCCACGAAATAGCGATACATATTGTGTCGCGACTAAATTGCTTTCCTTAGAAATATGGGCTTTAGGAAATATGCAGTTTTGGTGCTTCGTTTTCTAAACCTTAGGCAAAGTTTAGAGTTAACCGTTTACTCGTAGATTGAACCCGCATCTTTCTTCAGTAGTGCTGGCGGTCTTGGGACTGAAATCGTTAAGAATTCGAAGGAATACCCATTTCCAAAGACGTGCTCTGCGAAATGGAATAAAAAGGAGCAATAAATTATTTCCTTTAATTTTCATTGACAATTTTTTACGTGATGTTAATTTTGCAGAAACCGACCAAGTGACAAAAGGGCCAACCTTTCCAACTTCTAAAGCAATTTCCTTGCCATGGACTCATCCAACCTTGCCGTCACAGTATGACAACGGAAGGATAGTAATAAAGCTCTGGCATCAATGGAAAGGAGAAAAGGTGGAGTCCCATAGCTAAAATAAATGCTCTTTTTTGATTGTCTTACTAATAGGGAGTTATTTTAAAGTAAATAACTGCCAACTAAGCACTTCTTTTTTATATCTTAACAGTTTTTGAGAGAGGCTCTCGACAATCTCAAAACTCTCTTTGCGAAGAAACTGAACAAGTTTTGTGGACTGACAAAAAACTTCCAATGTGGACTTCCAGAAAGTTGGTTTTCTCGCAATAGGTTGTTACAATAGTTCTAAAACTCTTGAGTTTGACTAGCCACATGATTGTCCCATATGAGCTTAGGTGTACTAGTGAATCTGCAGGATTATCACTTGTTCTTGTCATCGGGCAGCTTGAATAAGTGAACAGTGGAGTACAATGGGCTCCTTCACTCAAGTCTGGGCGAGGTTAGCTGATAAATGGCGCGAAATTAAATGCTAACGGTGAACAAAGTTATAGTGTTTCACCCTTAACATCTGTACTTAATCAACAGATATCTCAAAATTTGGACTGTTTTGACCAAATGCTTCACCTTCACGCAAGAGCAATGTTGCGAAATGTGCCGATAATTTCAAAATAGAATTGTTATTAACGAATCTCATGAAATATATCTTCCTTTATCAAACAACAGACACAAAACAGCTGCCTATTTATCTATTTTTCAGATCACTCTTTGACTCTGACAGTGTTTTAGTGGAAGCGACTCAACTTTCAAACGAAACTCTAAATGTTGAAGTAGCCGTGAAGCTTCCCGCAAGTGTCAAAGGTAAACTGTTCACTTGTGTTCGATATTTTGAGTGTTGCGTAAAGCCCCGGCCAAACGTTCGCAACACTTTCAACGCAACATATCGCAACATTGTTGGGCGCAACATGTTGCGCGTGTTTGGCCACCCTGTTGCGATGTGTTGCGACATGTTGGGTGTTGTTGGCTCAAATTTGAAACTGGTCAAATTTTTCATGCAACATCCTCAAATGTTGCATGATGTTGTGGTCGTTTGGCCAGGTTCGTGCAACAATGTTGCACTCGGGCATGCGCACTAGTTCGATTTTCAATACCTAACATGTCGCCACACGTCGCAACAGGGTGGCCAAACGCGTTCAACATGTTGCGCCCAACAATGTTGCGATATGTTGTGCTGTAATGTTGCGATCGTTTGGCCGGAGCTTGCAAATGTTGGGCCAACAATGTTGGGATATGTTGTGTTGATATGTTGCNACTAAAACGACATTCAAGGGGACGCCAGGTCAACCTTAGAAGAACCGTCAGTCAGTAGTTTTCTTTAGCAAATTAATTACCACTGTTTACAGAGAACTGATGAGTTATAGCAGTGAAAGATGAGTCAAGTTGTTACAGTAAGGACATCGTGGAGTTTTCAGTCACTGTAACGTTGGTTATAATGAAGCAGCTCGTAAGAGATAAACCTATATTGAAGCAACCCTTTTTTTAGCTATTGTTTTCCAAGTGTCACTCGAAGTTGCAGTGATCCTATTTCGTGCCAACATCATGTAGGGCTTCGTTTGCCTGTGAAATAAACCTCTTATATGTACTAGTGCTTCGTTCCGAGGGTAAGAGGTTAAAAGCACGCTGAGTGGGTCTCACACGCAATGCTAATCCTGAATCACCGCTTCTCACTGGTAGTTACACTGCGGACAATTTAAGTATTTTTCGTGTCAGTGCTACTTTAGGGCGTGTATATGTGTATGGATTTTTCTCTTCAAACTGTTCAATTTTTCTCTTTTTTAGGGGAGCCGGGGTCGCAACTGTTGTAAGCTCATATGTGTATTCTTTTTATCTGTTACTTTTAGTTACTATAAAAAAGGTTGAATATAATGGATTGAGAAACTGCAGAAGTGGATCGTTTGCCTTATGTTTATCGCTGTATGCGTGGGATGATGGGAGCGGGCACGAGATGTATCGTCTTTAGCAGAACGTTTTTATTTTTTCTTCTTCTTCTCTTAATTCTACGTTTAGTTAACCTTAAGCTAAACAAAGAACAATTATTTTTCTTTGAAATTTAGTCGCAACAAAATGCGATGATCTGACATTTAGGTGTTTGTTTAGCAAGGACGATAACAATTTTGTTGACAGTAAGACACTTATGGACAAAAAGGTGTAAATGTTAAAGAAGATATTTACTTTGTCGCATCAAAGAGAACGCAGCTGGGATGTCACGCGGTTCCGAAAAAATGACGATCCCATAAGAAAGGATCAAGTTTCCCACAAAGCGAGAAACTGTTTTGCGGGATAATCAAAATTAATTAAATATGATGTATTAAGTACGGCGCACTATGTTGCTTGCAATATTGCACGCAATGATGAAATCTTGCGTCGTAAGCTCTGGCTCTTTGCATGCTCTTCACATGCTGAATTTTGTCTTTGTCTTGTTTCTGCTGATTTCTTGCCAGGTCATAGCAGTCGGTGGTCTAGGCGGTCACGTGTCTCTCCTGTTTCGCGCCTTTTCAAACCCAAGTAACCTGTTATTGAGCGGTGACTGCTGTGATCCAGCATGTGCGGATTGCAACTATTACTTCTTGTTTTGTATCCGTAATGACCCGAGCTCTGCCAGCTGCTTGGTATCGGGTAAAACCAAGACATATCACAATTACAAACACTTGGTGTTCACGTATGGCGATTCTCTTGGAAACGGCTGGCAAAATCCTGTGGAAGGAAGTTTTAGTTCTTGGAAGGTAAGATCATTTTCTTGCTCTTGTTTCTTGTATTGACACTATATGATACCTGTAGTAGAACCTGGCCTTTCGACCCTCCTGGGTATTTTGAGGCAAAAAGCTTTGTCAGTAATTTGCTCATTGAAGGCTGCCACTTTCAAAATATCATATTTTGATACCCGGTGGTGATTGTGCTAGTGGCGTTCCACTCTCAATAACCATAATTCCCTCGAAGAGTCAATTTTTAGCTGTAACATACACACTACATTGTGCAAGCAGATAGGTAAAGAAAATCAATTAAACAGGCTTATCATCGATCAGCTAGCTAAGGGTTATACGATGAAAGAAATACATGCTAACCTGGTTTCTCGCGCAGCACACTTGTATGGTATGATCGAGTCTCATTTCGCTTATCTCTACTGTGACAACTTGGTACAGTAAGACTAGTCTTTTGTTGAGCTCCAGAAAAGCGCAGTAACTACTTCCTTAGTCAACGACAACTGATACAAATTACTTTATATTACGCGCACAGGGTGTGCTAAGCTTTAGCATTGAAGTCATGGACTATGACTACTTTTCCGGAGCTGATGTCGTTGATCGCTTCAGTGTGAACAAACTGAACGTGATGCCAACCCCTTGGATGGAGTCGATCAAATGGAGAACGATTACACTTGGCGGAGGAGGCCATCCTTCCACCATGACATTGAAATATAACGTACAATGCAATGCAAATTACTATGGGTCGAATTGCACGACGTACTGTATGGCAAAAGACAATGATGTAGCTGGTCATTACACCTGCGATAAAGCCGCCGGTCACAAGGTCTGTCGTACTGGATGGCACGGTGTCAGCTGTAAGATCTACTGTGTGTCTCATGATGATGACACACGTGGACATTACACTTGTGAGTCTGGAACAGGAAGAAAAGTTTGTCTACAAGACTGGTATGAACCTAGCTGCACAGTGCACTGTGCAGCTAGGAATGACTCTCTGGCGGGGTACTCTTGCGATTCCCAGGGGCAAAAAGTTTGTTTGCGGAACTGGTACGGTAGGAATCAGTGCAACGTTTATTGCAAACAAACTAACAATTCGAGCGCTGGTTACAATTGTGGCTTAAATGGGAACAAAGTATGTTTACAAGACTGGTATGGTCCATCTTGCGATTGCACGCCAAAGAATGATTCATACATGGGTTACAGGTGTAATATTAGCAACGGCAGAAGAGAGTGTCTTAAAGGATGGTTCGGCGTCGACTGTAACATCCAATGTTTACCAGGAAACGATTCAGTAGGTCATTACACTTGTCACAATAGGACTGGAGCTAAAGAGTGTCTTCCCAACTGGTTTGGGGAAAACTGTACTGTTTTCTGTAAGACCAGTAATGATTCTTCGGGTCGACAAGAGTGCACACTTAACGGAAGCCGACATTGTGCCAGAAACTGGTATGGTCCAAGTTGTAGCGTTTACTGTACTACCAGAAATGACAAAGAGGGACAGTACACTTGTCATCCAGAAACGGGAGGGAAGATTTGTGGGAACGATTGGTATGGGGACAACTGCTCCACTTACTGCGTACCTCAAAATAGTGATTGGTTTGGCCATTACAACTGCAGCAAGATAGATGGTAGTAAACAGTGTCATAGTGACTGGCATGGGAGCCATTGTACGCTCTTCTGCAAACCTCACAATGACACACATGGGCATTACACTTGTGATAGGACAAATGGTAGTAAGGTTTGTTTGAAAGATTGGTTTGGATCCGAGTGCAAAACTTATTGCAAAGCAATGAACAACTCAAAAGGGCATTACAACTGTGGTATCCAGGATGGCACTAAGACATGCCACGAACACTGGCATGGCACCAACTGTTTAGTACATTGCACGGCTGTTAATGACTCTAGAGGTCATTATGAGTGTGATCCTAACGATGGGAGCAAGATATGCCATCGGGACTTTTACGGTCCAAACTGTTCAACACACTGCTCTGCTAAGCAAAGTATTAAAGAGGGATATTATGACTGCAACATTAAGGATGGCAGTAAGACTTGCCATCTGCACTGGTACGGACCAAACTGTAGTGTGTACTGCAAAGCGAGGAATGACTCTTGGGGACATTATGAGTGTAATGGGGTGAACGGGAGCTGGAGCTGTTTGGACGATTGGTATGGTCCCCGGTGCTCCGTTCACTGCGCTCCACGGAACACATCCGAGGGACATTACACCTGTGACTCAGAGACTGGAACCAAACTATGTCTTCCAGGCTGGGCTGGGAAGTTCTGTAACCGTGGTGAGTAATTTCCATTAAATACATAAAGCTTTCTAGGTAGACGTGTCTGACAAAGTAGTAAATCAGTGTAACAACAGCGTATCTATAGTTACCTTGTGTGTAGCAACCCACGAAATAGCGATACATATTGTGTCGCGACTAAATTGCTTTCCTTAGAAATATGGGCTTTAGGAAATATGCAGTTTTGGTGCTTCGTTTTCTAAACCTTAGGCAAAGTTTAGAGTTAACCGTTTACTCGTAGATTGAACCCGCATCTTTCTTCAGTAGTGCTGGCGGTCTTGGGACTGAAATCGTTAAGAATTCGAAGGAATACCCATTTCCAAAGACGTGCTCTGCGAAATGGAATAAAAAGGAGCAATAAATTATTTCCTTTAATTTTCATTGACAATTTTTTACGTGATGTTAATTTTGCAGAAACCGACCAAGTGACAAAAGGGCCAACCTTTCCAACTTCTAAAGCAATTTCCTTGCCATGGACTCATCCAACCTTGCCGTCACAGTATGACAACGGAAGGATAGTAATAAAGCTCTGGCATCAATGGAAAGGAGAAAAGGTGGAGTCCCATAGCTAAAATAAATGCTCTTTTTTGATTGTCTTACTAATAGGGAGTTATTTTAAAGTAAATAACTGCCAACTAAGCACTTCTTTTTTATATCTTAACAGTTTTTGAGAGAGGCTCTCGACAATCTCAAAACTCTCTTTGCGAAGAAACTGAACAAGTTTTGTGGACTGACAAAAAACTTCCAATGTGGACTTCCAGAAAGTTGGTTTTCTCGCAATAGGTTGTTACAATAGTTCTAAAACTCTTGAGTTTGACTAGCCACATGATTGTCCCATATGAGCTTAGGTGTACTAGTGAATCTGCAGGATTATCACTTGTTCTTGTCATCGGGCAGCTTGAATAAGTGAACAGTGGAGTACAATGGGCTCCTTCACTCAAGTCTGGGCGAGGTTAGCTGATAAATGGCGCGAAATTAAATGCTAACGGTGAACAAAGTTATAGTGTTTCACCCTTAACATCTGTACTTAATCAACAGATATCTCAAAATTTGGACTGTTTTGACCAAATGCTTCACCTTCACGCAAGAGCAATGTTGCGAAATGTGCCGATAATTTCAAAATAGAATTGTTATTAACGAATCTCATGAAATATATCTTCCTTTATCAAACAACAGACACAAAACAGCTGCCTATTTATCTATTTTTCAGATCACTCTTTGACTCTGACAGTGTTTTAGTGGAAGCGACTCAACTTTCAAACGAAACTCTAAATGTTGAAGTAGCCGTGAAGCTTCCCGCAAGTGTCAAAGGTAAACTGTTCACTTGTGTTCGATATTTTGAGTGTTGCGTAAAGCCCCGGCCAAACGTTCGCAACACTTTCAACGCAACATATCGCAACATTGTTGGGCGCAACATGTTGCGCGTGTTTGGCCACCCTGTTGCGATGTGTTGCGACATGTTGGGTGTTGTTGGCTCAAATTTGAAACTGGTCAAATTTTTCATGCAACATCCTCAAATGTTGCATGATGTTGTGGTCGTTTGGCCAGGTTCGTGCAACAATGTTGCACTCGGGCATGCGCACTAGTTCGATTTTCAATACCTAACATGTCGCCACACGTCGCAACAGGGTGGCCAAACGCGTTCAACATGTTGCGCCCAACAATGTTGCGATATGTTGTGCTGTAATGTTGCGATCGTTTGGCCGGAGCTTGCAAATGTTGGGCCAACAATGTTGGGATATGTTGTGTTGATATGTTGCGATCGTTTGGCCGGGGCTTAAGGTCTTCGTGATAACCAGCGACGTGACTAACCAGGAACCAATGATCGGTTCTTGTTCTAACCAAAACTCGTGTCGCACGCATGCATTTTTCAGGATCGGTTCCAAGTCGGACGCTGCAAGAGGTGGTAATAATCAACAAAGACGCCATTAGAAATGTCACATCGGCGGAAGTAAAAGAGGTCCACGTTATTTCGCCGAGCCTGCAGCCGGGCCTTTCAGGGTCAGCAGTGTCCACGAGGTCGTCAACTTCTTTGTCTTCTTCTCTTGTGTATGTCATCATCGCCTTGGGTTTCACAGCTGTTCTTATTCTTTTCATCATTGTTTTGTGGAGTATTATCAAGTACAGGTAATTGCGTGTACCTCGTGTCATTTGTTGTGCATTTGTCAAACTGTTGCTCATGTGTTTTGAACTTCGTTAACATGCTTAGTTGGAATAATTCCACGTCCTGCAGCAGCTACACTATATCTACTAGCTTGCACTCGCTAAGGCTTTAGATGGGCGACGCTATGCAAGTTATGGAGAAAATGGCGCGTAACGCATGCACTGAAAATTAACCGTATTTTCGGGCACTTTCCATTCATCCCGCTGCTTGCCGGACAGAATTGCGCTATATTAGCAGGAAACATTCCGGGGATTTCTCGTGCAAAACCAGCTCAGGCTCAATTTATCGTGAAATGCCAAAACATGTAGATCTTGCTCTAAAATCTCAGTAAAAAGACTGCGTTAAGAATTTTTTCCATGTCTCTTCTTTTTTATATAAAATGCGTTCAGGCATTTTTTTTCCTCTTTCTGTTTAACAGAAGAAAATCTCGTGTACGTGTGATCAAGGTAACGCCTGCATGTAGCGAATTGTCAACAGGAGACAATATCGCCTTAGTATCAAGGGTCTTTGATGAGGATGAAGAAGTGAGTCAGCTTGAGTGTGACCAGAGAATTGACCCCTGATAAAACAATATAAATGTTCTATACTTTTTTATTATGGGTTAATTCTTTGATCCTACTTTTTATACTTAACAAAATCGTAAACTATTCTAGCTCTTGCAACGTTTCTTTCTCAACATTCGAATCAAGATAAGTATGCCATAGCAGCCGACTTTGTTTTAAATTTCCACTCCTGCTGCTATTTTCTTAGATTTTTTCCCTAATTAAAGACCTTTTTACTTAAGTAAAGAGAGGTGTCCATGGCTAGCAAGCATTGAATGCATTTATCAAGTAAATCGAATTACTTTCAGGTTTCCTTTAGTTTTTTTTTTACTTTTTGTTTCTTTTTTATTCTCCTTTACTGTGGCGCATAAACCACTGCATGCACTTTCGTAGAAATTGAATCTCTTATGATTTCAACGTATATAGACAAACGACCCACTGCTATTTTATTTGTTTCATTCATAGAGTACCAGGAATTCTGACGGTATGTCTCACTCCGCCGTTCTTCCCTGTAGCGTAGATTAACACCCAAAATGTTGACGAGCCAGACAAGTACAGACGAAGGTTCTAATCGATCTGGACCTAATCAATGTATACTAGAGAGTTCTCATGCAAAGCTTAAGAGACAAAAATTGCAACACATTGCTCTTTAAGAAAAATTACTTTAATTGCTTGATCTAAATAACATACTTCTTTCCTTTACTAAATGAATTCATTGAAATGACTCTACTGTTCGCAAATTGCAAAGGACACCGGAAGCTACCACCAGTTACAACTATTCTTTTACTACCGATTTTCTTGCACTTCTTTGTAATGATACACATGATACACTTATGTTCCTCCTACGAGTTACTGTTCATCAGATGAGCTTATTGAGAATACTTCACAACTTCACAACGACAATAAAACTAAGAAATGAGTGGAACCTATCACTCAATCGTAAACAACGAGTCTTGGGAGCGAAATCGACAGTTTCGCCCTTCCCAGCCTTTCAAGCACACTTTACTTCCGTCACGTTCATCGCACGTGTAATGACCGTGTTTGGTATCGTTGTGAGGCACGCAGTACACGCCACAGTCGGGTCCATACCAAGACGGATAGCACTGTTTTACTCCTTCGTCAGTGCAGTCATAGCTCTTTTGTTCCATGGTTGGCTTCTCGTCGGCTAAACACGTCAGAGAACAGTTGGCGTCGAATCGACGAACGCCGTCCAAGCAGACCATGTTGCCTTCGTTGTCACAGGTGTAATTTCCCAGCTGGAGGTCGTTTTGAGGAACACAGAACACCGTGCAGTTCTTGCCGTACCATCCTTCAAGGCACGTTCTACTTCCGTCGGGCGCACAGCCAAAATGTCCGCTGTCGTCATCGCGAGGAATGCATTTCGTGCGGCATTCGATACCAAACCACGTCGGTAAGCACTCTTTCGAACCATCGGACTGTTTGCATCTGTTTTGAAAGATAGAGCGATTTTCAGTTGAATGTCGTAAAGCCATGCAAAGCAAAGTAATAACTTTGGCCAATGACAAAGGACACAGACAAGCCAATAAACCAATCAAAACTGAAGGTAAATTTATGTAGCTGACGCAAAGCGCGGGAAAACCTGTGCGTGCGAGTGACGATTGGATTTGGTTCTACTCCTGATGAAAAAACGGCCCAAGTTGTTTAAGCAAATCTTGTAGCTAAGTAATGCAAAACCGATTACTTTTTGACACTCAAGCGAAAACCACTGTATAAAAAGTTATAAAAACTGACACTTACCAAGCTGATATATGAATATGTATGAATATGACCCTAGTTCTCATCTTTTACCGGCCAAGCGGTTTGTACATGTATGTAACTTCACCTTGATAGCGAGAAGAACAGTTGAAAAGAAGCGAAACACTAACAAAAAGTATATTATAATAAGCACCACCGAAACTGATGACGCAGGTTGCAAAAAGAATACCGCGAATTCTTCTGAAGTCTTATCGCGGAAAAATATGTCCTCTTTAAAATTATTCCACTATCTCCCTCCATCTTCAGACGAAATTTTTCAGAAAGAAACGATCAAACATTTTAAACAAAAAGTACGCGGTTCCTCAAACACTCACTTGTAATGTCCTTGTTCATGGCTATCCTGAGGCACACAGTACGTAGAGCAGCGGGGACCAAACCAGTTCTTCGCGCATGTCTTACAAGATGGCCCGTCCCAACGGGGCAGGCATATCTTGTAGCCTACTTTGTCACAGTTAAAGTGACCATTATCCGGGTCGTCCCGCGGGACACACGAACGAGTACAGCTCTTTCCAAACCAATGCGGCCTGCAAACCTTCCTTCCCTGATTATCGCACGTGTAGTGTCCGCTCGAGTCATCCCGCGGGACACACTCCACACGGCAGCTGGGCCCGTAGTAGTTCTCGTCGCAAGACAGCTCCAAATCAAGCGCCAAGCTAACGCCTCTGTCCCTCAGGGTCAGACTTTTACGTAACGGGTTGCGAAATGTTCCTGGGGTGACAGACCGGAGAGTAATGGACGGATTTCCCACGAAATCGTCATTCGTGTATTTGTCCTTGTCCCAGACTTCCACTCTTATCGTAATGGCGCCCTGAAAGGAAAACCAAAGTATTTTTGTTCAGTATATCTTGCATTTGTTAAATTACCTACCAAGTTCCCAAATATGACACGACTAGTAGAAATATGCTACTTATCTAAGATGAATGTCCAAGATGTACCGTTAAAGTACTGAATGTGACTTGCATTCGATGTTCAAGTAAAAACCGCTCTTGTAAGATTTCTAATTTGTATTCATCGAGTGGAGTTTGTATACTGATAAGAACACCTACTTGAAAAGTGCTGAAAGGAAACACCCTCCTGATGTTCGGCGTATGGTTGTCCCTGTCTCCCACCACGCCTGTCTCACTTCGTCCAATGTTGCAGCTGTACGCAGATGATCCGGAAACAGACTGGCTCACGCACAGTTTAAAATAAGCATCACACGGATAGCACCGGCCAAAGTTGAACATCAAGTGATCACAGCATTTACCATTGCTCATGCGATGCGACGGATTCTTGTATTTTCTCAGAGTCACGACTGCATGTCCAGTGCCCTCACAGGGTAACTGTTCAAAATGAAAACGAGACTTTCATTACTGATACAAAGAAAAACTCGCATTTGAACCTTTTGCACTGTTATGCAAACTACGCAACGGAAAGTCAAAGGGAGCGCTTCCCTTTTCAAGCGCTTCGCTAACATGCAGACGATCATGATCAGTGATCCTGATCTGCAGGTAATTAAATTCAAAACAAGCATGGACTTCCTGAAAAATCTGTTCTGCTCGTCAAGCTTTTGCGCAAAAGGTTAAGAACTGTTATCTTTTTATATTAACTTGGCAAACACAAGCTAGAAAAATTGAGCTGTTGGAACCTTAATGAGTGGGTGTATGGACTGTACGCCTATCATCTTTTATTCTGTCTGAAACATAAAGGTAGCATGCAATCCCACGCGACGGAAGTGAGTTTTTTTTTTCATCAAACCTCACTACAGGATGTGTTTTTTTTCTCTGACCCACAAAACGGGATTAGCCTCCATAGTGCTTCCGAAAGCAAGGAAACAAAATTAACGGATAGTGAGGAAGACATTAACAAGTTAGAAGTTAGAACTCGCCCTCAAGATCCTTTCTTATTTCCCCGTACTCCATCTACCATATTTTGATTGTGTCGCTTGCAGGCTATTTATTATGTTTTCGATTAAATTATAACAATGGAAATTAATGGTAAATTTTTCTAAACAATTACACATGGCCTGATATGAATAAGGTGCGCCAGCAAACTAAGAAGTGCCGGAAATGACAGCACTAAGATTATTGAGACTACTGTGCAACGAAATCATGACTCAATCACATGAACACAGTAGAGAAGATAAGCCGCTACTTCAAGCCTTTGCAAACCACACTCCACTTGGAGGGGAGGGGGGGGGGCACTTCTAGAAAAATTGGGTGGGGGTGCGGCCCGCTTCCCAAAACCCTTGCCTTATTTTTGACCAAAATCTGCGATTTTCCCCTACCCTATTTATGACCAGACCAAAAATACAGCACTCTATCTATGACCGTTATGGCTGGCACAGTTGCCCTAAGTTCTAAGAAACACACCCAATTCAAGACTAGAGTAAAAAAACCATACCTCATTTGAGACCAAAATGACCAAAGACGATACCCTATTAATGACCAAAACGGCTGAAAAACCTTACCCTTTCGGGCCCACATACCTATAAAGCCCATATAAAGGAGTACCCCTCCAGGAAACCAACAGACTGATACTCCAACGCCCACCCTCCCGCCCTCGCCCTTCTCTCCATCACTCGTCGCGTCGCCTTTAACGTTGGTGAAGTATTCTCTGAGAGATGAAGCAAATGCGCTTTATTTCGTAAAAGATCTAAAAGGGAAAGAAAGTGTAACAACACGAAGTGCTATCGGTGAGAAGTCATCGCTCAGCGAGCACAGCTGGGTGGAACCAAGTAAATCCGACAAAAATTGAAGCGATGAAATGTTTCAAAATGTCAAACTTTCATCACTTCAATTTTTGCCGTGTTTACTTTGTTCCGCTCCAACTAACTGCGCTGCCTCTTGATCTCCTAGGAAGGCCAAGAGTTGGAGGAACTTGTTAAGGGATGTGTAACAGAATCCTTTACTTTCAGCAGTGCGTGACTGCACGTGATTTGTCATTTCTGTTTTCTCGAAAGTGAATTAAAAGACCAGTATGGTTTCTAATTATTCGTAAGGCTCATGTTTTGTTGTAAAAAGAAAAAGAAAGAAAGGACTCGTTGATAGCTTCTGAAAAACTATTGAAACCATTTTGTAAACAGGGTGAAATTGCTTTTCGTCTCCTCGTCCTCACCTAGGCCACGTAGTACCCAAGCCAAATTTCTTCACTTCCGTTTATGTTGTACAACCTTCAACTTTCAATATCTATCATGACTGAAAGTATCATTTCTCCCAGTACGCCGACACCGTTGCCTCAACGCTGAACATCGGCGAGATTTTGGTTCCTTATTATACAGACAGAATTACCTCGCCGCTGAACATCGGCGAGATTTTGGTTCCTTGTTATACAGACAGAA